GGACTTGAAGCACTTACTGATGAAGATCAAAGACCACAGCCTTCAGTATGGATTACACCTCAACATAAAGAAAACAAAAATCCTCACAAGTGGACCAATAAGCAATATCATGATAAGGGGAGAAAAGACTGAAGTTGTTATGGATTTCATTTTACTTGGATCCACAATCAAAGCTCATGGAAGCAGCTGTCAAGAAATCAAAAGACGCATTGCACCGGGCAAATAGGCTGCAAAAGATCTCTTTAAAGTGTTAAAAAAAAGCAAAGATGTCACTCTGAAGACTAAAGTGCACTTGACCCAAACCGTGGTGTTTTCAGTCGCCTCATACGCATGTGAAAGCTGGACAACGAATAAGGAAGATTCTCTCCTAGAGCCTCTGGAAGGAGCAGAGCCCTGCCAACACCTTGATTTCAGCTCAGTGATACGGATTCCGGACTCATGGACTCTCTCCAGTACTATGAGAGTGTTAAGTTTCTGTTGTTTTAATCACCAAGGGAACTGAAAACATACGCCCACACAAAAACTTGTACATGAATGTTTATAATAGCATTATGCATAATACCCAAAAAGTGGACACAATCCAAATATCCACCAACTGAAGATTAGATTTAAAAAACGTGGTATACATGTATATAGACACACATATATACATATATATACACATACATATATATATCTACACAATGGAAAAAGCTCTATCATCAATCAGAACAAGGCCAGAGGTGGACTGGAACAGTCCATCAATTGCTCATATGCAAGTTCAAACTGAAACTGAAGAAAATTAGAACATGTCCATGACAGCCAAAGTACGACCTTGAGTATATTCTACCTGAATTTAAGACCATCTCAAGAACAGATTTGACGTGTTGAACACCAATGACTGAAGACCAGACAAGTTGGGAATGACATCAAGGACATCATACATGAAGAAGGCCAGAGGTCATTAGAAAGACAGGAAAGAAAGAAAAGACCAAAATGGATGTGAGAAGAGACTCTGAAAGTTGCCCTTGAACATTGAGTAGCTAAACAGAAAGGAAGAAATGATGAAGTCAAAGAGCTGAACATAAGATTTCAAAGGGCGGCTTGAGAAGACAAAGTAAAGAATTATAATGACATGTGCAAAGACCTGGAGATAGAAAACCAAAAGCGAAGAACACGCTCGGCATTTCTCAAGCTGAAAGAACTGGAGAAAAAATTCAAGCCTCGAGTTGCAGTACTGAAGGATTCCAAGGGGAAAACATTAAATGACGCAGGAAGCATCAAAAGAAGATGTAAGGATACAGAGTCACTGTACCAAAAGGAATTAGTCAACATCCAACATTTCAAGAGGTAGCATATGATCAGGAACCGAGGTAGTAAAGAAATAAGTCCAAGCTTCACTGAAGGCATTGGCGAAAAACAAGGCTCCAGGAACTGACAGAATACCAATGGAGATGTTTCAACAAATGGATGCAGTGCTGGAAGTGCTCACTCGTCTATGCCAAGAAATGTGGAAGACAGCTGCCTGGCCGACTGACTGAAAGAGATCCATGTTTATGCTTATTCCCAAGAATCGAACAATATCATTAATATCACACACAAGTAAAACTTTGTTGAAGATCACTCAAAAGTGGCTGCAGTGGTATATGGGCAGGGGACTACCAGAAATTCAAGCCGGATTCAGAAGAGGACGTGGAAGCAGGGATATCATTGCTGATGTCAGATGAGTCCTGGCTGAAAGCAGAGAATACCAGAAAGATGTTTACCTGTGTTTTATTG